AGCTATGCAGTACACAGTACCCATCCATTGGAATGGCCATTTCTAGACACTCTGCTATGTTAGTGAACTGGCCAGGCTATAGCCTCGCGGCTTAAAGTTGAGTGAAGGACCAGCACCATCAGCATCACTTAGCCACATCTGAAATGCAGAATCTCCATCCTAAACCTATGGAATCAGCATCTGCATGTTAACACAATCCCCAGCTGATTCATCTGGATTTGAGAGGTACTGGTTTACAAGATGTCCTTCCTCCACAAACACATTTTCTCTTTCTTGTAACTGTGGCACATGGTGCAATGGACATCAACAGGATTACATACTGTACTGAGATATATCTTAGTAGAAATTAGGTCCCCAGATAGAACTAGGTTCCCTAAGATCAAGAGAAAACAAACTTAACTTCGAACAAAAAGTTGAGCTTTTTTGCCTGACATGTTTTTAATACTCTGAGATCAGGGAACTTCCTTGTTGCAGTGACTTGACTCTCGTAGAGACCTCGTCAAACCAGGGAAATACTTACAATTCAAGCACCAGCCCAGCTCTTTCTTCTTGGCAATCCCTAGAACTTCTCAAACAACCCTTTGGGCAAAGACAAATCACAAATTTTCAAATGAAAGACAAAAGTAGTCAAGCAAAATAAATTTCTTCTAAGATTCCTTGAGCTGTTTTTGGTATGTTTATGCATGTTCTCGTAACAGTTGAGCTCCTGAGAGTTACACTGATTTATTTGGATGCTTGTCCTGATTCTTTCTCATTTGGGTGATAACACAGTGAGAATTTACTATTTTGATTCCCTCCCCCCCCCCCAATATCCCAAGGCCACATTCTTTTTAAGCATTCCGAGAAAAGAATCTTTGGGTTCTCTGAGCTTTTTCTCTCCTGTAATTTAAGTTCAAGCCAAACTATTGGGTTTATCCTATCATCACTTATCTAAGCGACCTCTCTGCTAGAGCAGCATTCCATTCACTTTCACTTTTGTTTCAATCCACCTCCTCTAACTTTACCTCTTCTGTGGGGATAACCCTCCCTGACTTGCTGAAAGAGAGAGAGAGAGAGAGAGAGAGAGAGAGAGAGAGAGAGAGAGAGAGAGAGAGAGAGAGAGAGAGAACTACTCTTTGTGTTTTATTGCTACCTCTATTCTACCTCTTCAAACTGAATACAAGCAAAGCAGGAAAACATCAGCAATATTCTCAGATTGCCTTAAAATAATTTCCTTAATATAACATTGAGGTTTAGTGCTTGATATCTTATAGGCTTGGATATTAAGCATCATTTTTTATTTTTTATTTTTGAGCTTCTAGCTCATGAACAAAACACTTGTCTCTTTCCCAGCACCGTCAAAGACGGAGGCATTATTCTCTAAATACTCTAGCAAGACAGGCTTTTCTGACCAGCCAATTATGTTGATAGGATAAATCAGTGTTTCAGGTGTGATTCAAGAAGATAACATACCTTATCTTTTAAATTTATTTTTATTATTTTACTTGGATGACTTCTATATCTAAATGTTTGATATATCCCACAATATTTTATTCACTTATGCAAACTTATTTATACACACTAATATGAAAAAGTATACATTGGGCCCGGAGTATTTGACTCCTAGTCTTGTATCTAAACACTTCTTAGAGTAAGTATGTAGCATGTACCAGGTATAACCATTTTATTAGTAACTGTAGGTGACACAAAACAAATAAAAAATTGTCTTTGGCCGAAACCAGTTTGCTCAGTGGTAGAGCGTTGGACTGTGGACTGAAAGGTCCCAGGTTTGATTCCGGTCAGGGGCATGTACGTTGGTTGCGGGCACAACCCCAGTAGGGGGTGTGCAAGAGGCAGCTGGTCGATGTTTCTCTCTCATCGATGTTTCTAGCTTTCTATCTCTCTCCCTTCCTCTCTGTAAAAAAATCAATAACTTCAAAGTACTTTCCTGGGTAGGAAGACAAAGCAGAAGAAAAAAAAAAGTCTCAATGTGTAAGTTACAACTACCATTTGTTGAGCACTTACCAAGGGTGCTTAGCCCTCGACATATATCAGTATCATTCACAATAGTGCCATTTTACAGGTGAGAAAACTGATGCTGGGAAACTTGGGTAACGTGAAATGGGAATTAAGATCCACATCTGATATCAAAACCACGCTCTTAACTATTAATATATATAGTACTGCTTGCCTGATAGAGAGCGAGGGATGGGGAACTTATTTTCCTTTACTGTTTAAAAAAACCTGTTGTCTACTGTTTTATATTTTTCCAGCTTTATTGAGATATAATTGACATAACATTGTGTAAGTTTAAGGTATACAACTTGTTGATTTCATAACATATATTGCAAAATGATTATCACCACAGTATCAGCGAGCACCTCTATCACATTACATAATTGCCATTTGTTTTTGGGTGTGGGAACACTTAAGACCGATAATTTAAGCAACATTCTTTTACTTTTATATATTTCAATTGCAAACCTCTTGAAAACTAGAATTAGGTTCCATAATTTCTTTGTATTCCCTAGGATCTTACAGAATGCTGGGCACATTATAAATTTTCCAACTATCTCAAGGATGAACTGCAAACCAGATCATAAGATTTTGGCAACAGCAGCATACGCCTGCTATCTAAGACCTTTTCTAAAAAAAAAACAAAAACAAAAACAAAAACAAAAAACAAACAAAAAAACCTATAGGATAATGGCTATCAGGTTATTTTCTCAGGGGTTGCACACCCACCAAACTCATAATTCCTACCAAGTTGTTTCATGCTTCTGGGATTTTTCACCCAAACTTTTGTTTCAGTCCACCTCCCTTAATTCTAAGAGTCAACTCATTCACTACTTTTCTATGGAGAAAACTCCATGACCTCCTGAGAGAGAAGGGACTATTCTTTCTTTTGTGTTTTTCTATTACTGGTATGCCATCTCTTCATAGCATACATTGTACTGTATGAAGAGCGCACGTGTGTGTGTGTGTGTGTGTGTGTGTGTGTGTGTGTGTGTGAGAGAGAGAGAGAGACAGAGAGAGAGAGAGAGACAGAGAGAGAAGACAGAGAGAGAGACAGAGAGAGAGAGACAGAGAAAGAGAGAGAGAAATTTATAGGGGAGTCTGGAAGGAGCTCATTGCCATCTGGTGGGGAAGATATGTGTAGCATATGTACGTTTTATATCATGGCAGTGCAGATTTACATGAGATGTTCAAGGTATTTCATGTGCAACATAATATTGAGTGTGATAGATATTCCCTACATAATGATTTGTACGTTAGAAAGCAGAATAATACAGTGTAGGGTAGGAAAAAGTTTTCCTCTACCTCCTTAGGGTCCTGAAAGGGTCTGAAAATTAAACTGACAAAAATATAACCTGAGTGTGTGCCCTGACTGGAAATTGAACTGGCAACCTTTCAGTGCATAGGATGATAATTTTCTTAAAAATAAAAAGGCCCTGGCCAGGTAGACCAGTTGGGTAGAGTGCTGTCCCAATATGACAAGGTTGCAGACTTGATCCCAGGTCAGGATACATACAAGAGTCAATCAATGAATGCATATGTAAGCGGAACAACAAATCTTTGTTTCTCCCATTCTCTAAAATCAATAAACAAAAATTTATTAAAAACATAAATAAGACAGAAGAAGGCTGAACTAGATAACCTCCTGAGTTCATGCTCTCTGAAATAGGAAGGTAGAATGGAAGAAATGATCAAGTTGCAACAGATGGAGTTTTTATATTTCCTAACTGAACTGATGAGCACAAAAGTCCTTACCACACATCACTTAATTTTTTTTTCACTTAGAAAAACCACTTTAAACTGAGTCTCATCAATATTCTTAACATGAAAAAAATTTGACTTTTGTTAATCAGATTTTATAGACCACCTATAATTTATTGTATATGATGATGTGGCATTATAAACTAGAACTTATGCCTGGAAATCATTTTGACACATGTCCCTCCTGTCCTCTATTTATGAGCAAGGACAGCTGTAGGGTGGTTCTGTGAATAGGATTAAGAAATACTGAAGCTCTTGAAACAAGTGAGATGTGTTTATTTTCTAAGCAAAAGATCACACCTAGTGAAGTATTTATTTACAGGCTCCACAGCAAAACAAAGGCTTAAAATGAAAGAAAACTTTCAAGGGACATAGAAACCATCTGAATGACACAGCTTTCCCAACTCCAGGGGCTAGAGGACATTATGAAAGACACAGAAAAGTTGGTCTTGTGCCCGTAAAAACTTGTAGATTAAGGTTATAATGACCAATAAATTACAATGCAAGTTTCAAGCTGAAGAGAGACTCCCACTTTGACTACTTGGTGTGTCAATCCACTATTTAAACAACACGTCTAATAATGCACAATACTTTTGTGAAAGATTTCTTCAAAACAAAAACAAACGACCGTGTGTGTGTGTGTGTGTGTGTGTGTGTGTGTGTGTGTTTACCCTTATCCTAGGACCTAGTCATTGATTTTTCAGAGAGATGGGAAGGGGGAGAGAGAAACATGGATGGGTTGGGTACCTGCAACCTAGGTAAGTGCCTGACCTGGAATCAACCCAGGACCTTTCCATGTGCCTACTCCAACTAGGCCAGGGCAAAACAACCATATGCTGTTTTTTGTTTTTTTGTGTGTTTTTTTAAAGTGTATTTTTGTTGACTTTCAGGGAGGAAGAATCACTAATCGGCTGCCTCCTGCATGCCCCACCTTGGGGACCAAGCCTGGGACCCTGGCATCGCCCCCATCGGGAATCGAACCTTGAGCTCCCTGCTCATAGGTAAGTGGTCCAACCATTAGGCCACCCGGCCGGGCGGAACAACCATGTTTTTTTAAAAAACCGAAAGTGAAAATGGTTATAACTTGTTAGTGATTAGCCAACGAGACACCCAGGTCTGGTATTCCGGAAAGTCGCATTTAGAGAAAATCGCCCTTGGAGCAGAGCTTTCTTTTTCCTTTTTTTCAGGAACCAAACCGTTCCTCTGAGCGACACCCACTGGGAATCGGGCAGCACCCACCTCGGGGACGGCACCCGGTCGTCCCGCCCAGCTCCCCCGCGGCAGCCTCCGGCTTCCGGGAAGGCCGGGCACTTTGGACCCGGGGTGCGCGCTCGGCGGGCCCAGGAGGCGGGTGAGTGGGGCGCCAGGTCCCCGGCTGCCATCCCTGCTGCCAGCAGTCCCGGGCTGAGGGGCCCTGAGTGCGAAGGGAGGGGGGCTCCGCGGGGCCCCGGACGCTTGCGATCGCGGGGCCGACAGCGCCCAGGTGGTGGCTCTGCGCCCCCCGCGCCCCCGCGCCCCCCGTGCCCCTGAGCTGCCCGCCTCCCTGGTCGTTGCAGCGGGCGACGTGCCACCCTTCGCTGCCCCGGCCTCTAACCCCGGCTTCTTAGATTGCTTTGCTGCTTCTGGGAAACTGAAACTCAAAATGGTTTGCGTTTCCCCGCTGTTCCCGTCCCGCTTCCCCCCATAGTTCTTAGAGGAACTGATTCCTTCAGGAGCCTGACTGCTTGGCAGGCACAGGGCTTGGCAGACACTCCTCACTTCTCAGAATAGGCAGGCATAGCCCCCTGAGAGACATCCGAAGAAGCATATGATGTTTCCCTGTCCATATAACACACACAGGTTTCTTAAAAACCTGTTTATGCATCACTATTGCAACGAATGACCACCTTCTTCCTTTTCTGCCCCCAGTCTTTCTTTTTGCAGCCAACCAGGCAGGCAGATGGGAAGGTTCCGTTCTCTCAGGCCTTGTGCCACAATGATAAGTATATTAGAATAGGTGGTAGGTGGAGGCGATTTGTATTGGTTTTGTCAGGTGTGTCGTAACAAATTACCCCTGACTTAGTAGCTTAAAAACCACACATTTATTATCTTACAATTCTGAGGTTAGAAGCCCAACCTGGGTCTCACTGGGCGAACATCAGTGTGTCTGCAGGGCTGCCTTCCTTTTTGTAGGCTGCGGGGGCGAAACTGTTTTCTTGTCTTTTTTTTTTTTTGATTCTTTAGGCTGCCCACCTGCCTTGGCTCAGCGCTGTCCTTTGCCCATCTTCAAAGCCAGCAACATCCCATCTCTCTGACTGACTGCTCTGCTGTCCCCTGTCACCCTGACTCCGGTCTGCTGCCTTCCTCTTTCATTTTAAAGGACTGTGGTGCCGAAACCGGTATGGCTCAGTGGATAGAGCATCGGCCTGCGGACTGAAAGGTCCCAGGTTTGATTCCGGGCAAGGGCATGTACCTTGGTTGCAGGCACATCCCCAGTAAGGGGTGTGCAAGAGGTAGCTGATGGATGATTCTCTCTCATCGATGTTTCTAATTCTCTATCCCTCTCTCTTCCTCTCTGTACAAAATCAATAAAATACCTTTTTTTAAAAAATAAAAAATTAAAGGACTGTGGTGATTACATTGGGCCCCACTGATAATCCAGGATGAGCTCCATAGTTCCTAAAAAATGTATTTGTATTGACTTCAGAAAAGAAGGGAGAGAGAGAGATAGAAACATCAATGATGACAGAGAATCATTGATAAGCTGCCTCCAGCCCACAGCCCAGGCATGTGCCCTGATCGGGACTAGAACCATGATCACCATGATCTCCTGGTTCTTAGGTCGAAGCTCAACCACTGAGCCATGTGGGCTGGGCTGGAATTCTTTCCTGCAAAAAGGTGTTCTCTACATAACTGAAATGCAGTGATCAAAATCAGGGAATTGATACTGACCATTGCTGATTCTAATTTTTGGATTCAATTCAGATGTTGCCAGTTGTCCCAAAAATATCCCATGTAACAAAAAGACCCAGTTCAGAATCCCACGTTGCATTTAGTGGTGATGCCTCTGTAGTCTCTTTCAGTCTGGCACGGTTTCTCGGTCTTTCCTGGGCTTTTATGAACATGACACTTTTGAAGTCTGAGCAATGTTTCTTCATGCTTAGATTCAGATGGTGCATCCTTGGCGGGAATATCACAGGCGTCATACTGTGCTCTCAGCGTGCCCTATCACATGGCATAGGATTTCCAGTCACCACGCTATTGACTTTAATCATTTCATTCTGGTGGCGTCTGGCTGCTTCTTCAAAATACAAAAGTTACTATTTTCCTCTTTGAAGTTAATAACTATTTTAATTGCTGGGGAAGTATTTTACAATTCACTAAATGGTCATTTCCTCATCATCATTTTAATTTATTCATTTGTATCAGTATAGACTCATCTATTCTGGATTTAGTTGTTATGGTCCTTATTTACTGGTATGCTTAATTTCTTCCCAGGTTTGCTCAGTGAGACCCTCTTCAAGCTGAATCTTTAGACCTTTTTGCATGTCCTCATCATTCTTTGAGCACTTCTTGCTTTGGGCACCATAGAATGCTTGCTGACTTGTATGTTTTCTCTCTCAGTCCTAGAAAGGTTAGAAGTCCAAAGTAGTAATTTTTTAAAAGGGAGCATATTATGAATGCTATGGTTAACTACAAAGGTATGTTAATGCCCATCATTTTCTACTACTTTGTTGAAAAGCAAAAGATTTGTAGAACCCTCTTATATCTTTATAGGTGTAAAGTTACCTGAAATATAGACTTTGTTTGGATATAAGCCACATGATAATAAAGAATTTGATGACAGGGGAAAGATGTAGTGAAGGAGAGATTTTTTTTTTCCCCCTGTAAAAAGGTCAGGTTTGTTAATTTCCTTCTTATTGAGTTTGTGTCTATATACTGTCTTTAAAATATTAAACATTTTGACATTAGGGAATCATGGCATTTGGTGGTGAAGAGATAGACGAAGTTATGAAGGAGTATTTGAAAGATGAAGAATTTACAAAAGATGAACAGAAGCAGGTAAATAGAAAAATTACTGGGTATTATTTAAGATTAATTTATATACATTCATTTTTCAGTGAAGCATGTTTTATATGTTTTATCCAATATTGAATGTTGGAGGGTATTAGGGTTTTCTGAAATACTTTTACTTCCATTATTCATATGTTAAGAGAAGAATCATATTTCTATTTTGTCTTTTCCAAGGCTTACAACATTACTGCATTTCTTTGATTTACATCCAGAAGTTAAGAGCATAGTTAGCAATGATCTGATCAGACCCAAGAGGGAAGGTGGCTCAGGTAGCTTAAACTTTTTACCCAAAGCCATATATCTGGCATATCAAGGTAGAAAAAAAAAAATCACAGCATTTAAAAGACAATTTTTCCCAGAGAAAGAGATGTGCAATTTGAAAGTCATATTGTAGTCATAAATAGCTGGGAGAGGAGTTGACAGAGCATTGGACGGAGACTCAGAAGACCTGCGTCTCAATCTTTGCACTACTATAGAAATTTCTGTGACTTTGCTCTGTGTGAAAGGCGGTTTCCTTATTTGTGAAATGGAGATAATAACTTTGGGGAGTGATAAGAGATGATGTAAAACTCCATTTATTATTCACATGATTATATTTATTCTGGGACTGTCTAATGTCTTTTTTATTGTTGTTCAGAGAAATTTAGCTTCTTTAATTCTTTTAGAAAAATTAGGTCAGGAGCTGTTTAATTTTTTGGTGCTATTTGATATATTTGTGTTTGTGGTTTGCTTTTTTTTTTTAGAAATTAATTGAAAAAATATTAGAGGAAAACATTTACTTAACGATGGAGATCCAAAAGCTTGAAACTGAGTTACAAGAGCCCACCGGCAGCTCTCAGGTACACCTTTACTTATTTTGTGTATCCCATTTTTAATGACACCACTTTTCCGGAAAAGAGATTTCATGATATAAAATTCACTTTTAAAACATCATGGTCATCCATGGCACCACTGTTTGTAATAGTCCCAACGTGAAAACAACCCAGTGTCCCACCGTAATAGAGTGAGTTCATAAATCGGAGTACATTCACACAATGACATACTACACAGAATGAGAATGAACAGTTCATCTAACATCATGGATGAATTTCATTAACACAGGGTAGAGCCAAAAAAGGAATTCTTCTACTTAAATATAGCACAAAAGCAGGATGTTAGACGTTAGCATGATAGGAACTACAAGGTAGGAACTAGAAGGAAACCCAAGAAGTCTCTGAGTGTTGGTTGGTCATGTTTTGTTTTTGATCTGGGTGCTGGTCACACATGTGTGATCACCCTGTAAAATTTCATCTTTCTGTACACTTATGATAATGCACTTTTTTATATTTATGTAAGTGAAATTTTAAAAAAATCACACACAAAAAAAATGATGGTCGTTATCAATCACTTTTGGACCAAATTCTCACAAAGTTTTTTTTTTATTGTTGCTCTCCTCATCCAAGGTGCTATGGTAACTTAAATAAGTTGCACAGTTTAAAAAAAAAAAAAAAAGGATGTATATCTTCACCATTAGTCTCTCCTAAATTTTCTTGTATTTGAATTAGACATGACTTTCACCCCCTTTTTTCTTCATAACAACTCATAATTGTTTCTTTTTAAAATATATTTTTATTGATTTCAGAGAGGAAGTGAGAGGGGAAGAGAGAAACATCAATAATGAGAGAGAATCATTGATCGCTGCCTCCTGCATACCCCACACTGGGGACCCAACCTGCAACCTGACCGGGAATCAAACCATGACCTCCTGATTCATAAGTAGATGCTCAACCACTGAGCCATCCTGTCAGGCCATAATTGTTTCTCTACATGATGTACATGCTTAAAGCATTGCCATTTTTTTTTTTTTTTTTGTCTCTGAAATGGGGAATAGGATATTGAATATCAGGAAGTGCAGTTTCCCATGTTTATGGGACTTAGAGAAGATTTAAGATTCTGGCGACTCGGACTGGAGCCAGAATCAGTGTCTTAGAACTCAAAGGGTCTTGAGAAACCAGCCAGCATAGTTGACCACTTTATGGAGGGCTGAAGCGGTGGTCCACAGGGCTTAGAGACTTGCTTTCTGCCACAGTGTGTTCAGGACTAGAATCAGGTGCTCTCACTCTCATTCCAGAAGCTCTCAGAGATGTTGCAGGTTCAGTCCCAAAACACTGCATTAAAACAAACATGGCAATATAAGTGAGTCACATGAATTGTTTGGTTTCCCAGTACATATGAAAGTTATGTTTACACTATACTGTAGTCTATTAAGTGTGAAATAGCAATATGTCTATAGTTTGGCTCAGTGGTAGAGTGTCGGCCTGCGGACTGAAGGGTCCCAGGTTCGATTCTGGTCAAGGGCATGTACATTGGTTGTGGGCACATCCCCGGTAGGGGGGATGCAAGAGGCAGCTGGTCAACGTTTCTCTCTCATCGACGTTTCTAGCTCTCTATCTCTCTCCCTTCCTCTCTGTAAAAAATCAATTAAAAAAAATAAAGAAAGAACAATGTAATACCTTAGTTAACAAATACTTTATTGCTGAAAAATGTTAACTATTGAATAGTATCTGAATCATCGGTGAATCGTAATCTTTTTGCTGGAGGAGAGTCTTCAGTTTGTAAAATATGCAATATCTGTGAAGTGCAATAAGCGAAGCTCAATAAAATGAGGTATGCCTGTATAACTGGATACCTCCACATAATTGGGAAACACTTTGCCTTTTCTCAGACATTACAGATTTTTTTTTATAATATATATTTTATTTTATTTTTTATTTTTATTTATTTATTTATTTATTTTACAGAGAGAAAAGACAGGGGGAAGGATAGAGAGTTAAAAACATTGATGAGAGAGAAACATCAATTAGCTGCCTCTGCACCCCCCTACTGGGGATGTGCCCAAAACGAAGGTACCTGCCCTTGACTGGAATTGAACCTGGGACCCTTCAGTATGCAGGTCAACACTCCCTCCACTGAGCCAAACCCGTTAGGGCCATGGTTGGCAAACTGTGGCTTCTGAGCCACATGCGGCTCTTTGGCCCCTTGAGTGTGGCTCTTCCACAAAATATCATGGCCTGGCTGAGTCTATTTTGAAGAAGTGATGTTAGATTAAGTTGAAAAAATTTGGCTCTCAAAAGAAATTTCAATCATTGTACTGTTGATATTTGGCTCTGTTTACCACTGTATTAGGGCATTATAGATTGTTTTGAAATTAGAATGATGGTAATCAGAAATTCCACTGAAGTAACATGTAGATATACAATGAATATAAGATTAGATCAAAAGACTCAATGAATATGTCTAATCTCTTCGAGATAACCTTTTATTTCAGCATGGGAACTAGAAATGGAAACACAAAATTTATTTGTGCATTTATGTGTAATTATATAGATCTGTTGGTTCCTTTGATTTTTTAAGTAGCTAAGTATAACCACTTAACTTTTTCCTCCATATTACAAATCTTGTTGATAGTGTCCCTTACATTTCTATAAACCTAAATTGTGGTATTGGTTAAAATTTTGATGGGCAGGCAGTGGGGAAGGGAGAAATTAAATTTGATATATTTTAAATTATATAATTCAGATTTCAGACCATTTATTCAGCACAACATTTTTTAAAAACTGCTTTAGGATCATATGTGTAATATAAAAATTGGGGAAATTAATATGTTTTACAACATAATTTTATAGCTGAATAATTGCCTATAAAAGAGACACAAGGAAAAGTGAGGCTTCAACATTAAAATGGGAAAATATAAAAAATAGGTGACATTTTGGATATGTTGTATTCTTAAGAGCAGATACAGACATATCATGTTTGTTTAAATCATTATTACTAAAATGTAATTGTAACCTCAACCACCACATGGTATATTTTAGATGTACTTTCTTTCATGTATTCCTTTGCATTTTTTTAATGTTCATAAAAAGCTTAATTTATTCAAAAAATTAATTATATAATTCAGGAGACTTTCTTTTGGGATGAAATTTTTTGGGTTTGCTATAAAATTAACCACAGTGTACTCCCAAGTCCATTTCATGCCTCTTTGCAAGAAGAATAAACATTCTGTATAATGATTCCCTTGTGAGCTAGCCTGTTATTGGCACAGTTTTCTAAAAGGTACTTTTATGAAGTGTATTATCTTTAGAAACAAACACTATACAATATTGACCAGTTTAAATATTGGTTAGAAAAAGTGAGAGATTATATGCTTATAATTTGATCTGTGAAATAAGATGAAAGGATCAGTATCTGATTGCATTACTGAGGACTGAAGCAATTACTAAAGTTATTAAATAAAACCACACTGAGTATTCTGTGGGATTTTGAGATCAGTGGAGGATGAATTATTGGGTGATCAGATCACATTATCACTGGAAGGGCTTAAGTTATTCCTTGTCTTGATTTTAATCAAACATTTCATTTTTGAAATAGATTAAAGAGGATATTCCTGAAACAAAGATGAAATTCACATCATTAGAGAATCCTGAGGATGACAGCAGGTTTTCAAATATCTCCTGTTCATTTCAAGTGAGCTCACGAGTTCCTTATGAGCTACAAAAAGGAGAAGCACTCATCACCTTTGAAGACGAAGAAGGTATGATGAATGTTCAACCTCATGACCAACTTACCTTTGGAAAGCACTTGCACTTTCAAAGAGCTTTCCTAGACATTTGACTATTGCTTTACAATTTCATCCCATTCTCAAAGTGAAACTCTGAGGCAGGTATGATTATCCCCATTTCGCCGATGTGAAAACTGACTTTGAGACGTTAAGTGACTTGAAAATGATCACTCATTCAAAATGCAGTGGCTCCGAGACTCAAGCCCAAGTGTTGTGATGTCCAATACCAGCATCTTCTGGTTCTACCTGCCACTTTCAAATGATAACACTAATGTTTTAAGAACATAGAGCTCTACACAGTTATCAGAGAGTTCTCACAGGCATGATCTCATTTTATACTCTCATGACTCTGTAATGTAAGAGAGTTACTCTGTACATTTTATAGCCAAGAAACAGATTCTCAGGTGTTGACGTGATTTACCAAAGGGCATATGACCAATGGATGGACAGAGCTCAGGAGTCAGAGATGTGGGATGGAATCTGATGTTTGCTAAGTCTGCCATGGTGCGAGATCTTGTTCAGAGCTCGGAGCACCTTAATGAGGAGAATCTGGATTTTACTTTTATTTATTTATTTATTTTAAATATATTTTATTGATTTTTTTACAGAGAGGAAGGGAGAGGAATAGAGAGCTAGAAACATGGATCAGCTGCCTCCTGCACACCCCCCACCAGGGATGTGCTCGCAACCAAGGCACTTGCCCTTGACCAGAATTGAACCTGGGACCCCCAAGTCCGCAGGCTGATGCTCTATCCACTGAGCCAAACCAGTTTCGGAGAGAATCTGAATTTTAGTGTCATATTTGCTAGAAGTGTGATTTGGGTAGAGTTCTTTATAAATCTCAGATTTTCTGTGACGGGCTTTGTGGTCATATCTACCTAATGGAGTTGCTTTGAGTATTAAATGAGAAACGTTATAACATACTTAGCAGTGTCTGACACATATAAACACTTAGTAAATGTTAGCTGTTATTATTGCTATAAGTTAGGGATTTTCTAGATAAGAGAAGAAGATAAGGGACTTAAAAGAAGATAGGGATCTTGCTCAAGGTTCATACAGTTAACAAATTGCAGAGCTGAGAGCCGAACACTGTTTACCCATTTGCTTTCTACTGAAGCGGCATTCCTCTGAGCAGACCCCCATGTGCCAAGTTATGGACTGGCCTGGGGTGGGGTGAGCTAGAAGAGGTCAGTGTGTGGTGGGGGAGTGGGGAGGAGACATATGAAATACTTTCAACAATAAATATTTTTAAAAAATAGCCAGTGTGGCTTCGTGGTTGAGCATTGACCTATGAACCAGGAGGTCAGGATTCAATTCCTGATCAGAACACATGCCCAGGTTGTGGGTTTGATCCCTAGTGTGGGGTGTGCAGGAAGCAGCTGATCAATGATTATGTTGTTACTATTTCTCTCTCCCTTTCTTTCTATCGATAAAATCAATTATATATATGATTTAAAAACATTTTTTAAAATTAAAATAAAGGTGCTCCTTCAGGTTTTAGCCCTGTCACCTCCAATCTCCCCAAAAAGGAGAATAAATCTTAAAAGTTCTCATTACAAAAACTGTTTTTGTTACTGTGTATGATGGCGATGGTATCTTATTATGGTGGTCAATTTGCAATATATACACATATCGAATATAAGTTTGTACACCTAAAACTAATATAATGTTATATGTCAATTTGACCTTAATTCAAAACAAAACAAAACAATGACCTTCTAGCAGGTCAGTAAATACTATTGGTTCACCCTGGTCCACCCCTACAGCTGAAGGCGGAGTGGGAGACCAAGGGCCATGCTGGCAGTTGGCAGTGGGCAGTGGGATTAATCTGAAAGACCGAATTGAAGATTTGGGAGGCAGGGATTCTGCACCGGAATTACCTGGGAATACTGAGAATAGTATTCTCTTCAGAAACAGCGCATCACTGCTTTCACCACAGGCATGGCTCTGAGGTCCTGGTCTCCTGGGACAACTTTGGGTTTATATAATTAGCAGGAGTTGGCGTTTGATGGTCAGTGTCACAGAAGTTGAAGCACAAGTGGTTCCTTCCAGCTGCGTCAGATCACCAGATGTTGGAGGTTTTGGGTGTGGGGAATGAGAAGGAAAGAGCATCATTTAAGTATTACTTCATTAATATTTTGTTATTGTCTGTTGTCATTAACAAAAAAAGTCATAATTCAAGAGTCATAGCAGAGTACAATGAATGGGAATTCCCACATGATAAGGCCCTGTCTTCTAGCCAGTTTCTCTCTTCCTCCAGCTGTGCTGTGCAAGCTGGTTGCCATAAACATAAGGGAGGTTTGTAAAGCCACGAGTGGGCATCTCTTATTTTCATGGCAAATTAGAGCAAACAGCTCCGAATACTAACTGAAGACTTATAACCTCTTGTATCACACAATTAAAAACAAGCACACCCACATGCATTGTAAATGGACACACAGTTGCTGTTTACTATTCTAATCAATTTTAGCATAATTATATTACTGAGCGTCTCCTATTTGCATGGATGAATTTAATGTGATAGTTTTGTGATTGGCACAGGAAGGCTATCAGCTTTTCAGTGAATTATCTCAAAAACTTTTTTTTCCAAATTTAATAAATCTTTATTCCTCAGATTATTACAATAGTTTCTCCTTCTCCACCCCTCCCCCCCCCAGCTCCCTTCCACCCGGTTCCCACCCCATCCTCTGCCCTTACCTCCCCCTCAAAAACATTTTCGTGAAAGTAGAATTCCTAATGAAATATGGCCAAAAAAGAGAGATTCACTCTTTGGTATTCAAGCCTAGGTGGTCTTTAATGTGTAATCCTTGGGAAGGACAGGGAGAAAAGTAAATATTTACATATTAAAAAGGAGCCACAGATGACACATAAGGTTGATTGTCAGGATGGCACTGACCCACAAAGGCTTTCCCAGCTTACTCAACACGGAAGAAATTTCTGGCTGTGCTTTCATGTCCTGAGGGAATTCTCTGTTCATTGTCCACAGTGGAAAGGAAGGGTGTGTGACTATACTGATATCATATATGAATTTCTGAAGAATTATTAGGCTCATCTCTTAAGAGATGAATCTAGAACTTGATGAGGATTTCCACACTGTAATTTTTGCTGATGTATTTTGACTTTAATATAGCCTGCTTTGTTGGCCAGACCATTATCACTTGGAAATCCCAAGAGAAGTTTTAAAAATTAGATCCTTGAAAATGAAAGAAAATTGCCCTGGCTGGGGAGGCTCAGTTGGTTGAGTGTCCCCCTGTACACCAAAAGGTCGCAGGTTCAGGGAACATGCCTGGGTTGCAGGCTCTTTCCCTAGATGTTTCTTTCTCCCTCTTCGTTTCTCTCTCTCTCTTCCTTCCTTTCTTTCTAGAGAAATCTTTAAAAACTTAAGTTAAATTTAAAATATTTAGGATAGTTTGTTCTTTTATAATTGAATTTATTGGGGTAACACTGGTTATTAAAATTACATAGGTTTCAGGTGTGCAATTCTACAACACATCATCTGTACACTGTATCCATCTAGGATAATATGTTATTAAACCGAAAGAGTAAACATATATTGAAATACTGGAAATTAATACTTCCCAATTTATTTTTCAGTTGCCCAAAATGTGATCAGAATGGAGAAGCATCACGTGAACATAATGGATATAGGTGTGGAGGTTATGGCCAAGCCAGTTCCCTTAAATTCAGGAGTCAGATTCCAGGTAACACGGTGATTGAAGCTTTTCAGAATTCTATTAAACATGGACAGTGTTCTCATTCATATCTCTGACCATGAAATGATTTCCCAGGTTTCTGTAGAAGTGTCTAAAATGAAGGTCAATGTTACTGAAATTCCTGGAGAATTGCCTGAAAATCAGATGAGAGACAAGATAGAACTGAGCTTTTCTAAGTCCCGAAACGGAGGCGGAGAAGTGGAATGCGTAGAGTATGATAAGCAGGCCGGAAGTGCTGTCATCACATTTGTGGAAACTGGAGGTATTTACGTATTTATTTATTTTTCTTAATATATATATTATTGATTTTTTACAGAGAGGAAGGGAGAGAGATAGAGAGCTAGAAACATCGATGAGAAATATCGACCAGCTGCTTCTTGCACACCCCCTACCAGGGATGTGCCCATAACCAATGTACATGCCCTTGACCAGAATCGAACCTGGGACCTTCCAGTCCGCAGACTGATGCTCTACAACTGAGCCAAACCGGTTTCGGCGGTATTTACCTATTTAGAAAGTTTAAAAAAATACTCTACCACTTAAATTATGTTCTGCCATTTCTAAAGGTATTATTTTTCTACTTTTTTTTGGGTGTGTGTCCTTTTTTTTAATTGTTGAAAGTATTACATATGTCTCCTTTTTCCCTGATTGATGCTCCCTTCCTGTCACTTCCCTCCACCCCCAAGACAAGCTCCCACGCCCCAGTGTCTGTGTCCATTGGTTATGCTAATATGCATGCAGTGTCTGTGTCCATTGGTTATGCTAATATGCAATATGCATGCATGTAAGTCCTTTGGTTGATCTCTCACTTCCCCCCATCCCCCTCACTTTCTCTCTGAGGTTGGACTGTCAGTTCAGTGTTTCTTAGTCTCTGGATCTATTTTTGTTCATCAGTTTATGTTGATCATTATATCCCACATATGAGTGAGATCATGTGATATTTATCTTTCTCTGACTGGCCTATTTCGCTTAGCATAATGCTCTACAGGTCCATCTGGGGATGTAAGGATGGTTCAATATCCAAAAATCAATAAATGTGATACATTACATAAACAAATTGAGAGACAAAAATCACATAATCATATCAATTGATGCAGAAAAAGCATTTGACAAAATCCAACACCTTTTTAAAAAAATATTTTTTTAGCCAAAACCGGTTTGGCTCAATGGATAGAGCGTTGGCTTGGGGACTGAAAGGTCCCGGGTTCGATTCCGGTCAAGGGCATGTACCTTGGTTGCGGGCATATCCCCAGTAGGGGCTGTGCAAGAGGCAGCTGATTGATGACTCTCATCAATGTTTCTAACTATATCTCTCTCTCCCTTCCTCTCTGTACAAAATCAATAAAATATGTTTTAAAAAAATATTTTTTTATTGATTTCAGAGAGGAAGGGAGAGGGAGAGAGAGTTAGAAACATCAATGATGAGAAAGAATCATTGATTGGCTGCCTCCTGCACACCCCTACTGGGGATCAAGCCCTCAACTGGGGCATATGCCCTTGACAGGAATCGAACCTGGGACCTTTGCGTCCACAGGCTGACGCTCTATCCACTGAGCCAAACCAACTAAGGTCCAACACACTTTCTTGATAAAAACTCTTAGCAAAGTGGGAAGAGAGGGATCATACTCATTTATATGACAAATTTATAGTCAACATCATACTCAATGGACAAAATCTAAAATCATTTCCTTTAAGAACAGGAACAAGACAGGGATGCCGACTTTCACCACTCTTGTTCGATATAGTAGTGGAAGTGCTAGCCATAGTGATCAGACAAGAAAAAAAAAAGTATCTAAATTGGAAAAGAAGTAAAACTGTCATTATTCGCAGATGACATGATACTGTACATAAAAGACCCTAAAGATTCCATCAAAAAAACTCTTAGACTTTGTCTACTTTTTTTTATTTGGAATTTATAAGAAAGCATAAAAAATAGGGGTTGCTTTTAAATCTTATAAAATGGTAGGTAGAGTCCTGGTTTTTATGAATGCTACTGAGAATGGTAATATTACACAGATACTGAGTACATACATCCTCATCATGTCCCAGGCATGGAGTCAGGTGTTGTATACATTTATCTCTTCTGATCAACTCGAGGTGTTGTGATATCATTTTATTGATGAGGAAACTGAGGCCTGGGGAGGTTAAATAACCCAAGATCACACAGTAGGTGTGTGGCAGAGAAATCTGTCCCCTTTTTAGGAAGAAATGGACTATTACCAAATCATCTCAGGGAGGCTTATATTCTTATGATTAAAAATAGAAGATTCTACAACTACTTTTGTTAATTTGTTCAAGTGATCCTTAATGTCAGAAATCTTTTGCTCTAAGTCTTAGGGCTTCTCCTGTATAATAGAAATTCAACATACAATTAAAAACATTGACTGATTAGGTTTTTTCATAACAAAAAATAATCCATGCTTTCTAAAGAAAGTGGAAATAATAGAGAAGAGCATTAGTTTAGTAAAAATTGAGACATTTCCTTCCCATCTGTATGCTGTAGTTAGTTATGATTAGATTTTTCTGGAATTGCTTGATCATAGGGTGATTCTATGCTTAATGTTTTGAGGAACTGCCATACTGTTATTTGCTGTGGCTGCACCATTTTACATATTTGCCAGCAAGAGTCTGCACTCTTGGCCACTGTACATACTGGTGATCCAAGGTGGATTGGTGAGAGGAGAGAAAAACAAAGTGATTGGCTATTCTTCTGAACTGTTTCTATTACATTTTATGCTGTCTTGACATATTGCCTTTTTACCCTCTAGGAGGAAAGATGCTGCTAAATATAAATCTGATTATTCTTTGGTTTAGAGAAGAATGATGAATTTTTATTATTATTTGCCTTCACTTTTTCTCGATGGTGTTCAATACTCCAACCCCTTTGCTTAACATCATTATATAAGTTTGCTGAATATCATGTATTAGTTATAGGATAACTAACACATCCATAAACACATACAATATATAGTGTAAATATATATATTTTAAAATATCATAAAATATATGTATTGGATTCTAATCATAGTTTTTCTTTGATAATTCTTTAGAAACTGGGCAACACTTTTTTTAGGATGGGTGGGTTAATTTTGCAGATGGTAATTGCATTTTTCTTCTTTTTTTTTGTAATTGCATTTTATGTAGCTACTCAGGTGAGGCTATTTGAGGACATTGTAACTCTCTCTGCTTTGATTGACTCTGGTAAATATTTCAAGCGAGAAGGATCGACCTAAACCTCCTTATGTTGGCCTTATAGGTTTCAGAGTTATGTACTGTGAAGTCTTCAAAGTAGACTGCAATGTCTTAACATTTAATCACTCAATTTACTGCTTATTGTGATACTGTTCTATTGGAAGGAAGTTTTAACTTAAGTTAAAATGTTTATGCTATAAATAAAGTAATTTTAAAAAATTTACTCCTAGTTGCTGACAGGATTTTGAAGAAGAAAGACTATCCGCTGTATATAAACCAGGACTGCCACAGAGTTGTTGTTTCACCATACATAGAAACTCACTTGAAAAAGTTTCAGGTAAGGTCCTCTCTTTTCTTCCATTTTTGGGAATTTACCGCTTGATCCCACCCCACAAAAAATAAAGAAAAGGTTGAGTCTGTTACTGTTTGAATCTTATTAAAGAGAGGTATCAAAATAGTTTCCTTATATCTGCTTGGTACAGAATGAGTTTGTTTATTTAATTTATTATACACTTTTAAAAATTAAAATTACTCCAATAATGACACAATATATTTTTTAATTTTTTAATTTTTTTTAATTTTAATTTTTTTGGATTTCAATTATATCTTTTTTAAAAAATATTTTTTTATTAAATTATTATTTTTGTACATATACCAATGTCTCCCCCGCTCCTTACATACAACACAATATTATTTTTTATGCAGAGGCATAGCTACATTTCTCTCATGTGTCTACTGTCATTGGGCATTAACAATAATGTTTCCTGCTCATTTTCTCTGAATTTATTATCTTTAATCCAAACCTGCTCCCCTTTTCTGTTTCTACTCAGATATTTTTTAATTGAAATTGAAATTTATTGACATATCATAGAAGTTTATTACCAATTAAAAAGGAAAGAATGGAAGAGGGAAATATTCTATACCTTAAGTAAAGGAAACTTTTTTTTTCTTTTTACTGTGACAAACACAAATGATTGTGTTCATGATTTTTTTTTTTTTTTTTTTTTTTAGATTTCATTTCATTTTTCCCCCCTTTTTTATTAAATTAACTAGAGGCCCAGTGCATGAAATTCATGTGGGGGTGTGTGTGTCCTTCAGCCCAGCCTGTACCATCTCTAATCTAGGACCCCTCTGACAATCCAGGACTGCTGGCTCCCAACTGCTCACCTGCCTGCCTGATTGCCCCCAACCGCTTCTACCTGCCAGCCTGATCACCCCCTAACCACTCCCCTGCCAGCCTGATTGACGCCTAACTGTTCCCCTGCTGGCTGGCTCGATTGCCCCTAAATGCTCTCCCCTGCAGGCCAAGTCCCCCGCAACTGTCCTCCCCTATAGGCCTGGTTCCCCCCACCCCATCTGCCCTCCCCTGCTGGCCTAATCGCCCACAACTGCCCTCCCCTGGCAGCCATCTTGTGGCAGCCATCTTGTGTCCCTATGGGGACGGCCATCTTTGACCACATGTGGGTGGCCATCTTGTGTGTTGGAGTGATGATCAATTTGCATATTACCTCTTTATTATATAAGATTGGGGTGACATTGGCCAATATGAGCATATAGGTTTCTTACAAGATCTGCATATTGCACTGTATGCCCATCATCCAAACTTAAATCTCTCCTGTCAGGACCCTTTTCTCCCCCTTTCTTCTGGCAACCACCACTGCGGTTTGTGTTCATGAACCTACTCAGGTCTTAAATGACACCATCTACTTAGTCCACCAACATGAAAGCTAGAATTCATGATCAGCTCTTTTTTTTCTTCAGCTTGAACATTCATTTGGTCACTCAGCCTTGTCACTTGCACTGCTGACCTCCTATCTCACTGGCCTTTCTGTCAGCAGAGTTGCCCTTCTTTCCTCTATTGTCTAAAGCCACCAAGGTTGTCTTTCTGAAACTCAGATCTGACTCTGATATGCCTTTGCTTGAAAAATGTTACTGAGGCTCCCTATCTTTTCCAAGATAACTCTGGAATAGTAAGCAGAGCTTATCCATGGAAACATTTGCAATTCAAAGCTCTTAGCAGATTTTCCATTTATTTTTTTTACTTTCCTTTTTAGGTATTTTCAGGAATATCTAAGAGGACAGTGCTTCTGACTGGACTGGAAGATCTCTACATGATGGATGAAGAAATTGTAGGGGATTCCGTTAACATTCACTTTCAGCGGCCGAAGAATGGAGGTGGAGAAGTAGATATGTTCAAATGTTGTCTCAATGAAATTTGCGTAGCATACTTTCAAGAATAGACTTATGGAGTCATATAACAATTAGAGCTTCTGAGCCCAAATCACTATCTGTGTTTTACAAAAACTTTTCTCCTTTAAAAAAATTAAACTTTTAGTTTTTAGTGTCCATCTATTCAGAGACAAATATATTTTTATGGTTCTGAATTCTTCTTTGTTCCTAACTGTGCTGCATATTTACAAACACGAGAGCGCACTATATTAAAAACACTTGTGTTCATAACTTATGTGGATTGGTGCCATGTCTGTTGAAATCAACCGTAAGCGATACAATTGTTTCCCTGCCATGCTGGCTGCTTCTGTCATACTCATGTGGGCCAATTCTGTTTTGTTTCATTTTTTTTTAAAATTTATCTTTAGTATTGAAAGTATTACAGAGTCCTCCGCTCCCCCCCCCCCCCCACCCTCCCGCCCACCCCAGGCCTTCACTACACGCCAATTCTGTTTTGACCCTAACTCCACCAATATGCAGACTTGACTCTTGACATTTCCCAAAAGAATTGTTATATTCAGCAGTTGGTGACTTCTGTGGACTTGACGGAATTTCCAAGGAACTTCAAGAGAAATCATTTCCTGTTTTCCGTAGTATTTCCACAGCTCCAAAGGTATTTCTCAGAGCCAAGTGTGGCTTTCTTCTTGAACTTTCCTTCATCCAGAGTGTCAACTGCCCTCTATTCCTTCCTAGACATCCCCTCTCCAAACAGCACTTATTAAGACTAGAATTCTCTTTTACTCTCCTAGTGAAAAAATAGGTTTAAGGGATTGAAAACCTTGGAATAAAGAGAAAGGTAAATGCAAACCTGCTTATCACTCATGCTTGGTGCTGGGGAATACCTGAAGGTGAAAAACAACAACACAGTACCTGTCCTTTAGGAGCTAAAACTTGAGCTGGAGAGAGAACCAGTTTAATAGCATCCCACTGTTTTAACTTGCAGAAACTTAAAATGATAAAATTGAGGGTTCCTATTCAATTTTAGGAATAAGGTAAAATTATCTTGTTAATAGAGTATGTCTCATGAAGTCAACAGCAGAATTAAATTCATATTAAAATGCTGGTAAGAAATGAAATGGTTTTAGGAAAGATTCTAAACCTAAAACTACCCCCAGAAAACAAACAAACAAACAAACACTTGCTTTGTTTTTCTTCCGATATTTTATTTTTAGGTTTTAAAGTTGTTATACTATATTAGAAGTAGTCATTATTCTCTCACTTCTCTTTGAAATAAGAGATGGTGCCTACAAACTAGGCATTTATAATAAATCTTTATATTCACTGTTTTAGGGGGGAAAAAATCTCATTGTGTTATTCTTTGGAAACAGTAAGATTATTTCATTCTCCCAAAATATAAGAAGAAAAATTGAAAGAACCTTATTTAATTTCTATTGGTTCGGTCTCGCTAGCCTGAGAGTATCCTTTTTAGTGTAGGCACACTGCTAATCAGAAAGAAATTTTTTATATTTAGGGCAAGGTCACTTTTCTTTCTTTTGGGGGCCCTCTTCAGGCAGTAAAATAGATAATTTTATTCGATTCTAAATTTTCACAATGGTTTTTTATAAATGTAAATTATTTTAGAAAATTATATCTTTTCTCTTTTCATCACACCACCCATGGGTGATATGGCTGGATCTCAGAAATCAAGCATTGGCTTCCCTGCTTATTTCTAGGGTTTTAAAGATTTCTTTTTAAAAATATATTTTATTGATTTTTTACAGAGAAGAAGAGAGAGGGATAGAGAGTTAGAAACATTGATGAGGGAGAATCATCAATCTGCTGCCTCTTGCACCCCTCCTACTGAGGATATGCCCTCAACCAAGGTTCATGCCTTTGACCAGAATTGAACCTGGAACCTTTCAGTTCGCAGGCCGACACTCTATCCACTGAGCCAAACCAGTTTCGGAGGTTTTAAAGATTTTACAAAAGGAATGTTGTCTTTGAAACTTTTCCAAGAGATATTATATTGGCTATTTAACACATTGTATTTTAAATTAGGAAGACTTACATTGTGTGTCCAGGATGAAATAGCTCTTACTAAAGGTGTGAAAAGATGTTATTAATATATAAGGCAGGAAAGATAGATCTGTGGAATTACAAGCCCCTCTTGCTGTGTGTGGGTTTATCAATCAAAGCAGGCTAAGTTATGCTGTGATACCAAACCACCTCCCAAATCTCAGTGGCCTCACAAAATAAAAGTCTAATTCTCATTCATGGTGAATGTCAAACAAAGGTTGGTAGGGCATTCTATTCTAATCACTGAAGGCCCCATCTTAAGACATTCTTTCGGACTCAGGGAGGTGGGGAAACGTGATGTTTGGAAAATCTTGCACCAGCAGTTAAGTGCTGTGGCTCAGGACTGACCTGTGTCATTTCCTCTCACATCTCATTGGCCAGAAATAATCACTTGACCTCACGGAAACATAAGGAGTCTAAAAAATTTTGTCTAAAAACGAGGAGGACCAGAGAGAGTGGAGCCAGGATGATAAGAAGCACAGTCTGTTTTGATCTCCTGGCCATCAATCTTCGGATCTCTCTTCTTCACATACAAAATACACTCACTCCATCCCCAAGGGAGAAAAACAAAATATTCCCCCAAGTGGGAGCAAACTAAAAATGCATGAACTCTAGAGGATATGTGGTAGTTTCTCTTTATCCAAAAAAAGAGAAGTAACCACCTCCCAAATCTCAGTGGCCTAACAAAATAAAAGTTTATTTACATCGGTGGAACTGTTACAGAATAACAGCAATAGACTCTATCACAGCTTGGAAAGGACAGTATGGGAGACAGCAGTGACTGAGCCAAAGCCATTCTGAAATTCCACTCTGTAAATGTGGACTCCACACCCTCTGGATGTGGAATTTTGATTGGACCTCAATCGATTCCCTGGAAGTTCTATTACTCATTGTACTCATAACTCCTGAACATTCTTCTATTCCCATTACTCTTCTTGAGCCTATCTAGAATGGGCATTCAAAATATATATTTCTTGGGGATCAAAAGACTTTCTGACTCAGTATACTTACAATGATCCATGTTTGGGACCAAAGTTTTTGAAATTTTGCACTTCCACAGTCTCTACTCCTGGTGGCTAGTTAGCTGGTACCATTGAAACTATCTTATTCTGGTCCGCTTACATGCGCTCTAACAGGCACACTCACAGGTTTTTTCTAGACTTACTTTTTAGAGTTACAATAATTCTGTTTTCTTAGCCCATTCTTCTCTCCCTCCCTTCATTAAACTGTGGGTACTTTGAGTCTCTCAAGCCACTTTTAGTTTTTTTCCTTGAGCTGGTTTGTCCAGTTGAAAACGTTTACTGAATTCTGCAGCCTACTTGCTGTTTTTGCTTTGAGAGATCCAATCTGTTCAGAGATTTAAACCTTGATTTGGTACTTGCCAGAAGGCAGAGTTTGTTACTCAATGGTCTTAGTTTTATCATTTGAGAATGAGAAGTGTTGTTACTTCCAACACTAAAAGTTCCCACATTTCTGGACTTGATTTCCTTTCATTCTTCCTTGCAAAATGGCTAATTATGCCAATTATGTTGCTCAGGGGTTAGATCGTCAGCCTGAGTACTGAAGGATCACAGTTCGATTCCTGCTAAGGGCATGTACCCGGGTTGTGGGTTCACTACCCGTGCCTGGTCGGGGCACGTGCAGGAGGCAACTACTCAATGTGTCTTTTCTCTCTCTCTCTCTCTCTCTCTCTCTCTCTCTCTCTCTCTCTCTCTCTCTCTCTCTCTCTCCCCCTGCCCCCTTCCCCCTCCTCCTCCCTCTGTTCCCTTCCTTCCACTCTCTCAAAAAACAATGGAAAAATTATCCTCCAGTGAGGATTAAAAAAAAAAAAGAAAGAAAAAAAGAAAAGGAAAGGACCAGTTTATAAGCTCATTTCCTTCTTATATTACGTTGTCAAATGCTTCTATATAGCAGACATATGCTACTATAACCTCACAGGAACTTCATTTCTTTAACATAACTTCTTCCTTAATTCAAATGGCTTTGTCCAGTGTAACAGCACTGACTGACTCCCTTGCCTTTTTTCCACCAGATCCTTTCTTTCACTTTCACACACACTGCATGCTCACTCCACTCATCATCAAGCCCTTAGGACATCAGGCTGTGGTCAGCATCCAACTGTCTTCAGAATAAAGCCTCGGATCTGCTGATCTAGGGAACAGAGTTTCGGGCACATTAAAGATAACATCTTGACCTCAGTTGTGTTTCAGCCCCTGGGCAATGAAAGCAGAGGACCCAACCCACCATACCCTCAGCAAACAGGAACTCTGCCCAGGCTGCTATCTGGACCTGATTTAATGATCAACCACTCACTGCTGGCCCCAACCAATGAGCAAAGCCCACAGCCCCAGCTCCCTTAGTTGCTGTGACTTATGATATCCCCCCTTTGTAATCAATTCCCTAGCCGTGGTCAGCAAACTGTGGCTCACGAGCCACATGCGGATCTTAGACCCCTTGAGTGTGGCTCTTCCAGAAAATACTACCTGTGGGCGTGCACATACAGTGCGATTGAAACTTCGTGGCCCATGTGCAGAAGTCGGTTTTCGGTTCTCAAAAGAAATTTCAATCGTTGTACTGTTGATATTTGGCTCCGTTGACTAATGAGTTTACTGACCACTGCCTAGAGGACATCAAGAAATCAACCAGGTGTTAGGCAAGCTCCCCTGTGTCTCTGGGCTTAGCACCATTTCCTTAAATAAACCTGTACTTTCTTTGCTACAAACTCCTGTTGGCATTTTTGAAGGCTTTGATGTGTGCAGGCAAACAAACAAACCCCTTTAATTTAGAAACACTGCTAATTTTGTTGTTCACACTCTTCCCTAAAAAAAACAACACAACAACACACTATAAACTAATTAGGTATGTTAACTGCCTCCTAATTTATCATGTGTGAGTTTTACCACATGTTTTTCAACTACATAATATGTATCAGTCTCCTTGTAATCTCTGGTTATTATTTTTTTAATTATCGGCCACTTAATTTTTAAGACAACACCATGTAGTATTTTAAAAATATATAGAGAAATAGAAACATAGAGGGACAGAGAGATAGAAACATCTGTGAGAGAGA